CCCTCAGGCTCCCCAAAACCCATGGAGTCAGGAGAAATGGCCCAGACACAGGTGACCCATCTCTAAGCTGTCCCCTCACTTCTCTGCACCCAAGGGTTTTATCTCAGGGGTGTGAGATAATTTCTCTGACTTACATGTATGCTTTTTTAAGTTAAAAAGTCAAACACTTGACTACATATGGCCCTTGACTTATGATGGAGTTATATCCTGACATTAAGTCAAACCCCCCGTCATAAGTTGGGGACTGTCTATATTTGTTGTCTTTTTTTATCATCTGATGTTTTGCAGTCATCCCTTGAGGAAAAGGATGTTTTATAGCTCCTATTCTGAGTGAGGAAGCAGCAAAGGGCAGCAGGGATTAGTAGGGTGGGGGAAACATTTATTTCCAAAACACAACTGCGCCACACCCCTCTGTCATAAGGGCCTGCTCACGTGAAGCCTGGGGTGGGCAGGCAGAGGCATGGGTCAGTCTAGAAAGCTCAGAAACAGGTCTTTATGTTGGTGGACACCAAAGGTGGCCAAGAGGTGGCATGCAGGTGTGTCGGAGGACTGAGTGTTCAACAAGTGGTACTGGAACAATTGGGTGTAAGTGGACCCTGGGCTTATGCCACCTACAAAATAATTATAGGGAGACAGGAGACCTGACACTGAAAGATAAGAAGATAAAACTTAGGAAGTCGAGTACCCTCTAGGCCTTGGGATAAGGAAGGGTCTCTTAAACAAGACCCTAAAAATGTAGTAACTATGAAGGAAAAGACACAGAAATCCATGTCCATCAAAAGGCTAAAGAGAACAAAAAGACAAGCCTTAGATTGGGAGAAGATAATTGCAACACATGTGACCGACCAAGGACTTAAATCTAGAACATTCAAAACACCCTTGCAGGGGCTGGGGTTGTGGCTCAGCATCAGAGCACTTGCCTAGCATGTGTGAGGCACTGGGTTCGATCCTCAGTACCACATATGAATAAATAAAATAAAGGTATTGTGTCCACCTACAACTAAAAAATGTGTGTGTTAAAAAAAAAAAAAAATATATATATATATATATAAACCACCTTTACAGAGCTGGGGTTATAGGCTCAGTGTGTTTGAGGCATTGGGTTCAATTCTCAGGACTGCATATAATTAAATAAAACAAAGTTCTATTGACAACTAAAAAAATACTTTCAAAAAACCACTCTTGCATGCCAATAAGAACAACACTGAAAACCCATGGAAATGGGCAAACAATTTGAACACAAATTCCTTTACAAAGGAATCCTCAGCTGGATGTGGTGGCACTGCCTGTAAGTAATCTCATTGACTCTGCAGGTTGAGGCAGGAGACTCTCAAGTTTGAGGCCAGCCTCAGTAATTTATCGAGTTCCAGTCTCAAAAATAAAAGTAAAAAGTGCTAAGAATGTAGCTCCGTGACAAAGTGCCCCTAGGTTCAATCCCCAGTACAACACACACACACACACACACACACACACACAAAGGAAATTCTCATGGCCAATAAACCAGAAAAGATGATCAATTTCATGAGTAAGCAGGTGTTTGCAAATCAAAACCACAACAAGATCCCATCACACACCCCAGAACTGCTATAAATTTAAAGTCTGATGACCGTTGTGGTGTCACTGAGGATATAGAGGAACGGGAACTCATGCACTGCTGCTGGGAGTGTGTATGGGTATAAAGATGATAGGATCCAGTTTGGCACTATCAGATCCAGTTCAGCACACATACTCTGTGATCTAGCAATACTATTCCAAAGTATTTGCTCAGTAGAAATGCATATAATGACATATGCATTAGGATTCAAATGCAAGAATGATCACAATAGGGCTGGGGATGTATGTAGTTCAGTGGTAGAGGGCATACTTAACATGAGCAAGGCCCTAGGTTCTATACCCAATAATAAAAGAGAGAGAGAGAGAGAGAGAGAGAGAGAGAGAGAGAGAAAGAAAAGAAAATGCTCATAACAACCAACATTGTGGACAACTCAAATGTCCACAAAAAGCAAAAGTGGATGAATAACTTAAGGTATAACTTAAGGTATATATTTATACCTTGAAATACTATTTAACAATGAAAACTAGCAAACAATCACTACACATAGTAATAGATGAATCCCACAAATAAGGGAAAGAAAGGCAATATTGTTTGCTTCCATTTACATAAATTCAAAAACAAGTGAAGCCATACAATATCATCTAGAAATGAATCCAAGGATGTAAAATTACCAACAAAAGGAAAGAATTATCAAAAAGTCAAAGATAATGATCAAATTTTGCAGAAGTATATCTGGGGTTTAACGAACATGCTTTCTTTGCCCAACATTCGTATTGTAATTATTATTTGTACTGTATTTATGTTAATGGCCTTTTTTATGGTTATCTCACAAAAGAAATAAGTTAAAAAATGGGGTGAGGGATATAGTTCAGTAGTAGCATAATCGAAGCCCTAACTTCAATCCCAGGGAGACAAAATAAGCAACAAACAAAAGCAAAAAGTGAACTTCAGAACTGTATTCTGTATCCATTCAAAAACACTCTTCCTGAAGACAACACGACAATATCAGAAATGTTCACATTGTGATAGGAATAAAAATCAAAGCTATAGAACTCCGTTTATAATCATGGAGGCATAGAAGGGAATGTGCATATCCATAGAGAAAAGACTCCCTGGGAAGACCTCAAAAATGTGGCTCAGCGGTAGAGCATTCACCTAGCAGGTGCGAGGCCTGGGTTTGATCCTCAGCACCACATAAAAATAAATAAAATAAAGGTATTGTGTCCACCTACGACTGAAAAATAAATATTTTTAAAAGTTGCTAGCAGGGATTCTTTTCTTTTGTGTACTCTTTAAGTAATTCCTAAATTTTCCTCAATCAATAGATTGTTTTTTTTTTGTTTGTTTTTTTAGTAGTGCTGGGGATTGAGCCCTGAGCCTTATATATGCTAGGCAAACCCTCTACCAGCTGACCTATATCCCCAGCCCTCAACCAATAGGTGTGATTTTGTAGTTTTAAATAGGGAATGAGTGAATGTTATTTAACTTCTCTGAAGAAGGTTTAAAAATAAAACTTACCAAATTATTGTTATCAGTCAGGATTCAGAGTAAGAAATGGGAACTGCTCAGGGCATTTCCAGCTCTAAGGCATTTAATAGAGGGCACCTGGGGTGCTAGACAAGAACCCTGACCTGAATGGCTTAACAACAGAGATGTGGAGACTCACAGTCACGAAGGGTAAAGGTTCAAGATCAAGGTGTTGACGGGTTGGTGCCTCTGAGGGTTGAGGAAAGGATTTGTTCCAGGCCTCTCTCCTTGGCTTGGGGGAGGTAGTCTTCTCCTTTTATCTTGTCTTCCCTCTGTTCCTTTGTCCTTATCCTCCCCCCATTTTTAAAGGACTATTGTCGTACAGGATGAGGGTGACTGGACTTCAGTATGGTTTTGTTTTAACTAATTACATCTGCAGTGACCCTATTCCAAATAAAGGCACATTCTGAAGTTCTAGGGGTTAGGAATTTGAAAGGGAAGTGACAGTATAATTCATGACAGTATTATTCAAGTTTCCTTCCTTCCTTCCTTCCTTCCTTCCTTCCTTCCTTCCTTCCTTCCTTCTTTCTTTCTTTCTTTCTTTCTAAATGTGTATAATGGAGAGAAAGAAACTTGAAATTCTCTGCAGAGACATCATGGACGCAGTGATCAGTGCTGTGCTAAGAAGAAACTTCTGGAGGCCAGGACCCGCACATTGACACTGAGTACATTGACATCAACCATCTGAAAATATTCCTCCAAGTGATTATCTTGTTGGTAGCAGGATCCAGGATCAAGGATCCAATCCATTAAATTCCTCGCCCTCTGGGGCTCTTCTGTGGGGCAGAGGAGGCCCCTGCCCGGGCCCCTCCCCTCTACCATTGTCTGGCCAAGTCCTGCTGCCACCTGGCTGGAGCCAGTCCCTGGGGCTTGGGGTTCCCACACCTCTTTATCATGCTGGGTAGAGCTGATTTGGTGCCTTAGAAAGCATTCAGAGAGCAGAGAGAGAGAGGCCCCAGGCGAAACAGATCTCTTTATCTCTACTGGCAAAGGCTGGGCCTCAGGGTTGGGACACAGGCCTGTTTTCTGCTACAGATGCTGCAGTGTCCCCAGTTGGAAAATTGGGCCTCTCTGTGCCGGAAATACCTCTCTCGAGAGGCCAGTCTCAGGAGGGCCTGGCTCCGCTTCACTGCTGCGACTGTCCCCTTCAATGATAAGCGGTCATCTGCGGCCAGAGGTCCGGGAGCAGAGCCACGTGGTTCCCAGTGAGAGTTTCTCATTTCCCTCCTGGCAGGTGCCTTTGTCCCTGCTGGTCACTCCAAAGCTTAGATTTCCTTCTGGCCAAGCCCCAGAGATGCCGGCTGGTTTTCTCCAGCGGAAGATGTTGCCCTCTTTGTGTCTGCAGATGGTCCTTCTGCAATTCACACTGGTCACGGTGACTCTGGGAAAGCCAGTGGGAAGGAGAGGAAATTTACCTTCCATTAGAAGGGGCTGCTGGCTGGGCAGGAAATGGCCTTCAGGACAAGGGGTTTCTGTTTAATATTTCTTTGGAGATTACTCCCTCTGTGCTGGAGACTGTGCACCGGGTCCCCTTCATTATTTGCTCCTCTCCTCCTCTTCCTCTTCTTCCTCGGCTTAACCATGCTGCTCGAGATGGTTTAGCACCTCTTCCTGCACACCACTTCACAAACCTGCCTTTTGCCTCCTACCCCAACACTGCTCAAAACCATGCTCCCTATTGCCTGAGAGGTGCTGATCCCCCTGTGGTGCCCTACTAGCTGCCTGTAGCTAATGAAAGATCACCCCTCCCAGGTTCTGTAGCAGACCCAGCCATCGGAGCACAGAAGGGGCACCCAAAGACCTGAATCTTTAACTCACTCTGCTGCTGATTTTTTTTTCATTTGTGTGTGTGTGTGTGTGTGTGTGCGCGCGCGCGCGCGCGCGCGCGCACGCGTCTGTGCATGTGAATGTCTGTCTTCCCCACAAAATCCATGTGTTGAAGTGCTTACCTCCAGTGTGAGGCTATGAGGAGGTGGGGCCTTAGGAGGTGATTAGGCTTAGATGAGGTGGTGGGGTGGAGTCCTCATGGGGCCTTTCATGAGAAAAACAGATCCAGTTAGGAAAAAAAGCTGTCATCACCTCCCAATCATGTTGGGAACTCCAGTTTAGACTTCCAGCCTCCAAAACTTTGAGAAATAAGTGTCTATTGTTGAAGCCACACGATCTATGGCAATTGGTTACGGCACCTTGAATCGACTCAGAAAAACAAGTTAAAGGGAGGATATTTATTTTGGCTCATTGTTTCAGACCATGGTCTCTGGGCCCCATCACTATGGCCCTGGGCCAGGCACCACATCATGGCTGGGAGCAAGTGACAGAGCAGATGGGGGCTAGGTAGCAAAGAGAGTGCAAAGCAGGGCCCAGGGACAAGATAAGCCCTCCCAGAGTTACCCTCTCCTCTCAATGACCTCCTCCCTCCACCTAGGCCCCACCTCCTGCAGTCCCAGCACCTCCCCAAGGTCCATTAAATCATGACCCCGTGATGGATTAAACCATGGATGAGGTCAGAGACCTCATGATCCACTAAAAGCCCCACCTGTGGACATGGGTGCATGGGGGACCAAGCCTCCAATACATGAGCCTTCAGGGGACACTTCAGATCCCAACTGTAACACCGACTTTTCATCCCCATTCAGCTCAGACTTGACCTCTTTTCTTACATGTTCAGACTGAAGGGTGCTCTCTCTAGGGATCCCCAGTATTCAGAGGTGGGAGATGACTTTCCGTGTGTTCTGATTCCCAGGCCCTGCTCACCCTGCCCTGGGACATCTGCATCTACCCTTGCTGTCTGTACCCTGTATAACAGGGCGAGTCTTCAACAGGAAAAGTACTGATGCGAACACCCATCGGGGAGACATCCAGCATCCCCTTCCCTGCCCAGGCCTCCACCAAGTCCCCTGGGACAGCTGGAGACAACATCCTCCACCCACACCTCCGGGGCAGCCTGGGGTACTGGGGCCCTTCCAGAGGGAGGGTGGGAAAAGGTGAGTGACTCCAGAACAAATAACCTGTGTCTGGTGGGTTTGAGGGCGTGGCTCTTTTCTTTTGCAGCTGTGCTCTCCCTCAAGGTTTTCCACCCCCAACCCAGGAAGGGGAAGCCGCCCCCGGGGGTCAGAAGGGGCTGAGCCATCCCACGGGTGCCACTGGCCTTGGTGAGTCAGCCCCTAGGGAATGGTGAGCTGGCTCCTTGAAGGGAACAGAACGGAGGCTAGTGCTTTGGAGGGAGGGAGAAGAGAGTGGCTCGACCGGAACTGGGGTGTGTTAGTCAGCTCTTTATCGCTGTGACCCAGACACTTGACAAGAACAACTTAGGAGAGGAAAGGTTTATTTTGGCTCAGGGTTCCAGGGTTCCAGAGGGTTCAGCCCATGGCTGGCTGGCTCGGAGGCAGAAGCAGCATGGTGGAAAGGTGTGGCAGAGGAAAGCATTCAGCTCAGGACACTCAGGAAGCAGAGGGGAGAGAGAGAGAGAGAGGAGAGAGTGTGTGTCCAGGAACTAGATACAGTCCCCAAGAGCACCCCTCACCTCACCACCTACTTCCTCTGCCATTCCCCACCTGCCTGCTTTCCACTACCTCCCATCAGTCCATTCAAATGATCAATCCATCAAATGGATTAATCCACTGATCAGGCTAGAGCCCTCATGATCTGATCATTTCTCACCCCCCCCCCCGCCTCCCACTCTGGACTTGCTATACCAGGAACCAAGTCTTCAACACATGAACTTTTTTTTTTTTATGTGTGGGGGGTACATTTCAGATCTAAACTGTAACAGGGGGCCACCACAAAAGAGGCAGGGGATAGGTATTGGAGTCTTACTCAAGCAACACAAGGTCAGTCTTCATCTGGTCAGTAGCTCAGTGTCCTGGTTTGGGGGTGCAGAGGAGCTATGCACGATATACCTGGAGACTGAATTCCTTGCTGGTGGCACAGGCCTAGGGTAGTGGCCACAGTGGACAAAGACCAAGTCCTTTCCCAAGTCGTAGGGAAGGACTCAGCTCCCAGCCTCTGGGTGACCCTGAACATGACCCACTGAAAATGAACTTCCCAGTGGAGGCAAGGCATGCAGACGGAAGTGAGTCCCCTACTGTAGTGGGGGGATTGCAGGGAGACCTCTGTAGTGCTGGACTTGCACTGTGGGAATGAGTTCAAGTATTCCTTGCTTGTCAAAGGCAATTGTTTTTAAGAGTTTTGAATTTTTTATTTGAAAAACAAAGAAATGTTTCCTGTACCAAGGGATTGTGGAAGAAATGGTACTGTGTTGGTTGTCTTTGCTGGTGCTGATTTCAGGAATGTCCATGTCCTCCCCAGTCATGCTTTTAGAGTCCCACTTTTGCTTCTTTGAATTGCATCAGAGCTCGGCCCAAGGGAGGCTCCAAATGAGACTAAGTAACAGCTCATTTTTATGGAGAGGTGGGGAGGAATGGGCTGATCTAAGCACTTGAACAATGTTTCATTTCATCTCAACAACTGCATGAGTGAGAAGCTGTTATGATCCCCATGTCATGGGTGAGGGTTATAAGAGCAGATGATACAAAGAACAGTTTAGAATGGCAGGCTGGGTTGGAGGTGAGAGGCTGGTGCCAGTCTGGATGTGGCTGCCGCCCAACCAACTATGTGACTTGTAACTCGCCACAGGGCCTCCACTTTTCCATCTGCAAGTGGAGATGGTGCAGCCAGACTCTGACCACCTCCCTATTTGTTGATTCCACCTGTCGTGACGTTCTATGGGGTGGAGAGGAGCTCGCACTCCAGGTAGACCCGAGTCAGAGATGAGAGTTGAGCACCTGCTTCATTTCTCTGAGTCTCAGTTTCCCCATCTGTAAAATGGAAAGAGTTAGACTTTATAGTTAGGAAGAATGAATGAGCTTGTAAGGAGAGAGCCTTGTGTCTGGGGCTGGATCAATGTCACATCTTTCAGTTTGGGCTGCATCAGGCCTTTCTTCCCCCTGCTGGTGGGGAGTAAGATTGGAAGGCCCCGGGCTCAGCCTCAGCCTCAGCCATTGCTGTGCTAGGCACTGGGACACACTTGGCACTGGAGACTCCCCATGTCTTAGGGACCCAGATAGGGTCCCTCTTTCATCCCACTGTCACTCACATGCCTGGCTCCCTCCAGGTCCATCCCTCCTGAACACTTCTCTGTGCTCAGCACTGGGAAATAAAGATGGAGAAGGCCCCACCTCTGCCCCCAAGGCTCACAGTCTCCTGGGGACATCCAAGATTATGATACCAGCACCGTGTGCTGAGGAATCCCTCCAAGGAGGCAGGAAATAAGCTACTGCCATGTCCTCTCCCCTGAGCCACGAATGAGCTGTAGTGAAAATATTTATGACAAAATGCTAAGTGAAAAAAAATTCAGTGTCAACCATGTGTATGAAATATCTATGATTCTGTCCATAGCTTCCATGAACCTGGCAGCTGAGGTTGGGGCCTTTGGAAGGAACTGGGGAAAATGGGTAGGGATAGTGCATAGAATTTTATATAGTTTGCTTTTTATTTTAATGCTAAGTTTAACTTTTTTTAAAAAAGTTGATGTTGGGAAGGATCTCAATTCTGTAACCTTGGCAGCTGTGAGGGGGCTGTGACTGGTCCCGCTTAACCAGCTCGCCCTGTAGAGCACGCTACGTGGCCCCAGGAGTCTGTGGGTTCATCCCCACATGTGTTTGTGACAGGTGCACTTGTAATCATGATGTAATCTTAGTAAGTGTGGAGTTAACCAAGGAGAGATGAGGGGCATAAGAATGAACGGTTTCTTCCTCTGATCTTCAGGTTGGATGCTTTGCAAACACTTGAGAAAAGTTAAGTTGTTTTACAAAAGTCAATGTCAAACTAGACATGGGCATGACAGCTGTAAAAGGTTGGAAACCCATTTCCAGAGGAACCTAAGTTCCTTGTTTCACCCATGTCTTTAAATTCTGGCTCCACTGAAAGGAAAACAAGCCAGAAATCCCAGCTACGCATTATGGATGTGATTTATGCAACAACAACAACAACAAAAATGCTGATGTGGACTTCACTGAGCGACTCATTCTCAAATTCAAGGCCTGGAGCCCGACATCAAAGTGTGGTCATCAAGTGTGTTTTCAGTTGAAAGCTTTAGATTATCAGGCCCGTTTCCTGTCTTGGTCTTATGTTGCTGTAATAGAATTCTACAGACTGGGAACTCTGTCATGAACAGAAGTTTATTTGGCTCATGGCTCCTGAGGGTGGGAATTCCCAGATCAAGGGGCCACATCTGGGAAGGGCCTTTGTGTTGTGTCATCCCATGGGGGAAGGCAGGAGGGCAAGAGAGTATGTGTAGGAGAGAGAGAGAGAGAGAGAGAGAGAGAGAGAGAGAGAGAGAGAGAGAGAGAGGCTGAGCAGAGGGGAATAGAGTGCCCTTTGTCAGGAACCCACTCCTGTGATGTCACCAGCCCCTGTGATGACAGCATTAGCCCACCCTTGAGGACAGAGCCCTCATGACCCAACCACTATTCTTAGGTCCCTCCTCTCCGCACTGTTCTATTGGGGGTTAAATTTCCAGCACATGGACCTCGGGGCGCACACTGAAACCTTGGCAGTTTTATTGTATGATTCCCACTTTGACCCTCTTTTTCAATTAGCCTACTCACTCTGGGCCAGAGGGTTTGGCTGTAGACCTGTGTTCAGTAGAGGTCCTGTGTCTGCCATTACCTTTCCTAGGGAGATTCCTGAGATATTCCCTGTTCAATTCTGGTCCCCTTGAGGAGGGGCAGGTTTTCCCTTCATGGTCCGTCCCCTCCAGTGTCGAGGTGTGCTGGGCAGTGGGTCACTCTAAAGTCCACTAAGGGCCCAGCTAGGCCCATCCACTTTCCCTTTGTCCCCACCTCTTCCTCTCAGCCGACCTCTGGCGGTGGGGTGGGGGGACTTGACTTACCTCCTCTGTCCTGCAAACACAGATCTGAATCTCCTGGCTGTACCTCTGAGAAGACTTTACTGTAACCTTGAGACTTCATTGTGATCTGGGAGAGGGAAATGGTGCTGTGGGCACCAGTAAGCTTCAAAGGGAAGAAAAGTCCCCAGAAAAGGCTCCGGTTCAACTCAGTGTTTGGTTGACTGGATACACACGAGATGTGGCCTAGTCATTCAGTGGAATATTACTCAGCCTTCAAAGGAAGGAAGGAAATCCTGACCCAGGCTACAGCACAGATGATGAACTCTGGGACCTTATGCTCAGTGGAATCACCCAGCCTCCAAAGGACAAATATGTATGATTCTACTTCCATAGAATTCATCGAGTCATCAAATTCAGACACAGAGGATAGAATGGGGGTCGCTGGGGACTGGGGATGGGGTGGGGAGTTGTTGAGCCAGTGCTGAGGTTCAGTTTGAGATACCAGAACACACTCCAGAGATGGATGGCGACACAATAGAGGGAATTTATTTAAGGCCGCTGAGCTGAACAAAACTAAAAATTTACTAAGATGGTAAATTTTATGTTATGTATATTTTCTCATGAAGAACAAAGAAAAAACAAACAAAATGAAGCCCAGGGCTGGGCTGGGCCCTGCCCCTCAGTGCTTGACTTCTCTGGGACGCACCCTGATTATTTCTGGGGGTGGGATTGGGGATACCATTGAGTTTTTTGATATGCTCAATTAATGCTCAGTTAAAGTAAAAGTGTTTAATAATTTGGGGTGTGGAGGACAGCATGTTAAGAATTAAAAAAAAAAAAGTGAGGGTATCCGGTAGGTCAATGGCAGTTCTCAGCCCACTTCCTCCCAGGGCCTGGGTCTCTTCTAGGAGGGTGGAGGTGCTGGGGTCCCAGGGTGAAGGGCAATTCTAACCTGAGGAAGACCCAAAAGGCCCTCCCTGCCCCTGTAACTTTAACCTTGATGGCTCCCACTTCCCCCTGTGCCAGAAGAGAGGGTTGACCCCTGCTTTGCAAACCCTCGAATTAAGGATGGAACAGCCTCTGTCCCTGGAGACTCAGCCTGAGCCCATGGATGGATGGTGCTTCCCCCTTGGG